ACTGTGAAAACAGCTTTTCTTCATTTAATGGCTGAATAACCAAACCCCAATATATCAGGAAAATCCAAGCACATCAGGTATAACTTTGAGTTTTTTTAGCTTTAAAAGTTGTTGTCGTTGTATCTGTGAGCTGGCTGGGGGCGTCAGAATGATCTTTCTAATATTCCTCCTTTTTTAGTTTAACAAAATTTCAGGTTCACAATGAAACATAATAAAAAGTCATTTATAGAGAGACAACAGTGAGCTTTTGAACAGCAAAACTCACTGAAACAACTACAAGCTGTCGACAAACTAAATAATCTTCCTCACATGAAAACACGAGACTGAAGGACAAAGACATCAGTCATCTCACTCTCCTGATCTTCCTCCCTCTGCTGCGGATGTGGACTCTCCGCCTGCAGATAACACTGAGAGGAGGGGGCATGCTTTCTCATCCTGCAGCTACGACCGCACACAGTTCAGTTCAGTTTGCAGGTTACTCCATTCACTGTGAAGCTGCTAAATTCAGAGTATCACACTGTAGTGCATTTTATCACACGAGTCTTTTATCACTCACCTGTGCTTCTTGACAAAGGAATGGTCAGCAACAACACTCAGGTAGGCTGTGGGGTTTAACTGATCCTGAGCTGAGCTGGTACTAAGGGGCCCAAAGTGTGCCAAGAGAATATCCCCCACACCATAATACCACCAACTTCCCGAAATGTTGATATGAGGCAGGATGAAGCCGTGCTTTTCACTCCAAATTCTGTCGCTACCATCTGAGACTCATCAGACCAGGCAAAAGTTTTCCAATCTTCTCTGGTCTAATTCTGTTCAGCCTGCAGGAGCCTCAGTTTCCTGTTCTTTCTTGAACAGTGGCATTCTGCTGCTGTAGCCCATCTACTTGAAAGTTTGACATGTTGTGCATTCAGACATGTTCTTTTGCATACCTTGGTTGCTACAAGTGATTTTCTGCGTTACTGTGACCCTCCTATCCGCTTAAAGCAGCCAGGCCATTCTCCTCTCACCTCTGGTATTTCCCCCTTGAGAGCTGCTGCTCACTGAATACTTTCTCTTCTCTTTTCTCTTTCTCAACCCATCCCAGTAAACCCACAGATGGTTTGTGTAGGAAACAAACTACTCAGACCAGCCCACCTGACACAAACAACCATGCTGCATTCAGTCACTTTAATCACCCTTCTTTCCCGTTGCGATCCTCAGCTTCCACTTCTTGATTTCTGAACACCCTAAGTGAGATTTCTTTTAAAATTTTTAATAAACACTATAGACTCACAGCTTTTTTACAAGGTCAGAGGTCAAATCTTACCCAGAAAGTGTTTGTCGGTGCGGAGTTTAGTGGGGTCCAGAAAGAACTCGATGAAGACGTAGGAGGCGACAACAAGAATGAGACAAACTCCCAAAAGAGCTGAGATCACACTGTGGAGGAACAACCTGCAGGACACACAGCACTGCTCAGCACACACGCCTAATGGGCATGAATGTACAAAATATATATGTCAAAAATATTGATTAAAATATTTAAAATACATAACTTTTGCTATCTTTGCACCCCATGTCTATGTTGCTCCAGTATTTTAGAAGAGACTTTTGGAAATGCTTCTGACTCGGTTTTCAGTTAATGACACTTTTATCATTACAGGCAGAAGCACAGAATTATAAAAACAATGACAGACGCGACTCCTCGCTGAGTCACATCAGACACGACGCGTCCTCCTCTGATTCATCGCTCCCATCATATGGCAGCTGCCTCGTTCTGTTAGTTTGTCTGTGTTGCTGTCGTGACTTTCCTTTTGTTAAAGCTTTGCACAGAGCTGTATAACAGCCTCACTTCCCTGTCAGGGACAGCTGTCTTACTGGGAGTGAACCAGTGTCAGGTGACAGCATCCTTCATTGTTTGACTCCACAGAAAAATAAACCAGTACTCACTTATAGTTCCTGCTGCCCACACAGTTGTTGAGCCACCGGCAGTGATGGTCGAAGTTCGCCACACACTTGTTACAGGCGCTACAATGTTTCGACTTCGGTCCCCTGAAACAACCACATACATATAT